TGTTGGTGTGGAAACAAGCATATTCAAATCTTTTCTTTTTGGTGATTTCCATGCCAATTGTTTTCTTCTGTGAAACAACCTCCTGATGAAACAGACACATTTTATGATGTGTACAACTCAGAGCAATTCTACAATAAATGGTCATTGGTTAGAGTAGATATGCTCACTGGTTTTTATATGGGCTTGTTTGTTTGAATGATAAATGATTTACTGAGAACCTACTTTGTGCACATTGACACACATCATCTGAGCACAGGACAGAAACCGCTTTGCTCCTCTTGGGGGCGCTGTACAGCACTGAACATTGGGTATTGGGTATCAATGACAACTCAGGGCGTCCATGATAAAGAAAACAAGTTTAAAACGTTAGAAACTCTGTACTCTTTGTATTCATGTTGGTTTCAAATGCCTTTGGCTTTTAACAATTTCAATAAACGTTTCAATGTACTGATGTTTAAAATAACTATCAATTAAAAAGTAAATATAAGCTATCTTGGTCTTGGTCCTGTAAAAGACATTTTCTCATACAAAAAGAAATTAAGGAATAGCTTGCCTGGCTCATAGTAATCATAAAAGGTAGCAGGAGCTGGTTGAACTAAACCAATAGCCACACTTTGCTGGGCTCCGAATGCTATACAGGCTTCACCTTCATCTATCTGAGGGGTGACAGAGAGACAACTTCAACTACTTTGTTAGTAAGGGAGTTATGATAAATTATGACCGTGTGTTTGTGCTCTTTTCACCTTATTGAAGTACAACAGCACTCTTCCTCGTGTGAGCTCATAGTGAGAAATATACCTGTCCACCAGGTCTTTTAGCTGTTGGAGAGAATGTTAGAGAAACAACAGAAACAATGGAGTAAAGCAAAATTATGAAAGACCCATCATAAGATAGAGATAGATAACTATTAAATGAATAGTTCACCCAAAAATGAAAATTCTGTCATTAGTTACTCACCCTCATGTCATTCCACACCCATAAGACCTTCGTTCATCTTCGGAACACAAAAAAAGATATTTTTTTATGAAATTCGAGAGCTTTCTGACCCTCCAAAGACAGCAATACTACCACGATCAAGGCACAGAAATGTAGTAAGGACATTGTGACATCTGTGGTTCAACCCTGTGACCCTGGACCACAAAACCAGTCTTAAATCGCTGGGGTATATTTGTAGCAATAGCCAAAAATACATTGTATGGATCAAAATTAATGCTAAAAAAGATCATGTTCCATGAAGATATTTTGTAAATTTCCTACTGTAAATATATTAAAACTTAATTTTTGATTAGTAATATGCATTGCTAAGAACTTCATTTGGACAACTTTGAAGATGATTTTCTCAATATTTAGATTTTTTTTGCACCCTCAGATTCCAGATTTTCAAATAGTTGTATCTCGGCCAAATTTTGTTCTATCCTAACAAACCATACATCAATGGGAAGCTTATTTATTCAGCTTTTAGATGATGTATAAATCTCAATTTCAAAAAATTGACCCTTGTGACTGGTTTTGTGGGCCAGGGTCACATTTGATAAAAACTGTGAATATAAAGTCAGCTCTTTTCATATTGCCACTGCAATGGGTTCATTAACATCACACAGGTTTTTATTTATTTCGTTTTTATTTTAAATAATTCAATAATTCAATTTAAGCAGAGTTTTGTGGTCCAGGGTCACATATTATGAAGCTATGAGAATACTTTTTGTGTGCCAAGAAAGCAAAAATAACAAGTTTATTCAACAATTTCTTCTCTTCCATGTCATTCTCCACTGCCGGGGGAGATCTTCCTCCTCCTTCCTCTCTTCATCTTGTTCATAGTCCTTATAGTAATTGTAAGTTTGTTGTACATCACCCTAAAAATATTTTTGTAAGAATAATTGCACATAATTCTGCATATTTACAGAAATAAGGTATGAATTATATGGATAAGGTTAAATGTGTTGTTAAATTAAGCATGAATTTTGGCATGGATAGTTCACAACTCACTTGTGTATTCCACTTTTCCCTCTACAGTCACATTTATTGGTAAGTCAGCGCAGTTGGAATCTTCCTTATGAGCATAATAAGCCTTTGCCACCTACAGTAACAAAACAGAATAAGAATAATATTGCTGTGGAAATATTTGACCTCATGTATGCACATGGTGGAAATATTTGTTAAACTGCTGCTTACTTTCATTTTAATTTTTACTTTACTGGAAAGGTTTACATCTATTCCCATTCCCACTAGTCTCTGAAAAGACAAAAGAAATACCATAATAAACAGATCAGAAGGAGAAAATATCTGAAAACTAAGATAACTAAGTCATAATGAAACACTGTTGATAAGAACTGTAAACTTACAGTGTCACCTGGAGGACAACAGGCCAAATTACAGTAGCTCCTCAGTGTCCTCATCTCAATGTATATGGACCCCCTATTTGTGTGTGTGTGTCATGCCGCAGTAGTTTAGATCTAGGACAGGAGTTCCACATCTATCCTCGTTCTCTTAAGCCATTTTGTTAGATTTCTGTCAGTGTTTTGTGTCACTGCCCCAGTTACTTAACCACCTTTTTGAACCTACATTTATTTTAATTTAAAAATAATAATAATTAAAAACCTTGTAGTTTTTCCACACATGATTTCCCATAAATATAACTTAGTGACGTGACATGTGGCCAAGATGTAAATATGTAAAATATCACATATTTTATGAATAGGCACATGTTGATTAGGTCAAATGGATTAACCCTGACAAAAGTCCTTGATATTCATGAAATAATGATATTCTTTTAAAAATATATGATTATTTAAATAATTATCATGTGTGGGCTACACCCATGATTGTTTGTTTATTTATTTACTTATTAAGCAGTCATTCTAGATCTATGATTTATCATGTTCATAACATATAGTGATTAGTCAATAATCACTGACGAAAAATAATGATTCTTCTTTTTCTCTCTTTTGTTTGTTTCAACAGGAGCTAACTACACCCCATAGGCTATTTTAGGAGCCACAGCACTGAGCATCTTTGGCTTTGTAAGTATGCTTTAACCAGGGCTTCTCTCAACTGTTTACTTTCATTTCAGACATAACCAACTGTGTTTATATGTAAACCTTGTGTATTTTTGACAAATCAATCAGACGCGAAAGACAACTTAGTGCGCTTCATGAGTACGCGCTCAGAAAAAGCGCATGCAGAACAGCACGTGAATTAAATGTTTAACCGGTATTGCTTTAAAGCAGATGGAAATAATGTAGTTTTGTGATTGCGCATAAGTGCAGTGTCCCGTGAGAGTAACTCGACCGCTGAGCTAACACTGATGTGAATGCATGTGGCGTTGTACATTATATTGAGACGGAGGGAGGCGCCAGAACTGCAGCTGATAGAATGTGCGCTGTAGCACGAAATAACGATATTTCTTCAAAAAGCAGATCGTGGAGACATTTTAATCATTACACCCCAAAGACTCTTTTAAGGGCCACCTAGAATCACGGCACCTTTGGCTTAGTACGTTTTTTTTTTAATGTATGATCACTCAGATATTGGGCTGGGGATTGATACAGATTTTATAATTCCATTTGATTCACAAGCTCTTAATTCAGTTCTGATCTTGATTCAATTCAGTTTGATTCACAATTATTCTAATTCTCTTATTCTGATTCCATATGATTCCAGTTTACATACAATTTAATTAGATACATTTTTTTCTGAGAATTTGATGACAGCCATTTATTATCTTGATTTAGTATTCATTTTGGTTATAATCCTGTATTATTCAAGAGTACTTCTAGATTGACTCAGAAGCCTGTTTTGCTCTAATATTTACAAACAATTCAAATGTTACAGTAGCTGACACTGATATTCATTGGATCAAGAGCTGTCACAACTAAAATGATACTTAAAAAAAAAGTTTAAGTTTGAAGGACCATAAAGTTACTCAGTGTACCTCTTTAATGTGATTGTACATTCAGGCAATTAATGGAGTTCCCTGACAAGGATGTGCAAAAAAGCAATACTGTTTAAACAGTACTATACTGGGAATAACTGCTGTTGCACAAGTTGTTACCTTGTCTGTCCATGAACAAATTTAGATGAGATAAATTCATGACCCTTTCTCACACATTTCCCCTTTGTTTCAGATCAGCTGTCAGTGGTTATGGAGGCCATTCAGCCAAAAGACCAACTGGGATGCTTGTTGCCATATTTATTTTTGTTGCAATATTGTCATGATCTCTGCTTTGATTTCTTGTTATGAATTCAGTTCTTTAGTTTTTTTTTTATGTTCCAGAATAAAGCACAATAAATAAGTAATGGATGTATTTAATAGTGACAGTGAATAAAAAAATATACTGTTGTACATGGACTCAGGTCACTTATTTGGAATTTATTCAATTCAATGGCATTCATGAAAAATATTCAAAGGTTTTATAAAATAAATTACAGTAGAATTACTGTAATATTATACTGTAAAACTAAGTTACAGTAAGGATATAAGGATATAGTACTGTAAAATTAAGTTGCAGTAAGGGTATTTCACTGTAAATGAAATTGCGGTAAGGCCATCATACTGTAAAATGAAATTGCGGTAAGGGCATTATACTGTAAAATGAACTTGCGATAAGCTACTGTAAAGGGGTAGTTACAGTAACTTACTGGCAATAGTGCTGCCAGTAAGTTACCGCAAAAATACAATAAAAAGTAACAGTGTTCATTCACTTCACACACTCATTACTGCGTGACTTTAGAGGTTTGTGTAAAATATCGCGCTGATCCCCTGGCTCACCTGTGAATCTAGCAAACACCAGACTGTGCCAGCCTCAGCCGAATATTCGGGCAGAATTATTCGTTATCCGTTATTTGTTTTTGAAGCCATTATCCATGCCTTTCCGAATAAGGTATTCGGCTTCGGGCGCACCCCTAATACTAAGTGTCATTGATATTATTTTTCATGCACATTTCGAAGATGTCACATGTTAATTGTACCTTTCTGTTTGGGGTTGTATATAGGTTGGCTCGTCTGAATAAAGATGTAGCCACTGTGTTTGGAGACCAGGACGCGGGTCTGCCATTTCTGACCATCAACTTCACATGCCAGGTTGAGATAGGGAGGCTCTCCATTGATTGATTTCAGGGCTGAACTTTTACTTTCAAATATCTTGAAGAGGAAATACACAGAAAATGAACCTCATAAAATGTAACTTATTTAAATGAAAGGATGAGTATAGTATAGATGCTTATATCATTTGTTTTTGTCTATTTTGTCTATATAATTTCAAAATGGTGTTTCAACAGCTACATATCTAACTAATTATTCTGTGTATTTATAGATAACGACATCCTGCTAAAATAAACTTCTTGTCTTGGTCTTAAATTACATGAAAATGTTTTTATTCATTTAGACATTTATTTTCTTTACCTCAAGATTCACTGCTTCAAACTGCCCTTTTTTGGTGATTGTTTTGGTCTCCCGTGCGGACATGGGAACAAGCATCTCTGTTTCTAACTGACAGGACACGGGTTTTGCAAAGCACCTGAATCCATACGGGTTCTTTCACACCAACATGAAAAACACTCGGAACGGTGATTAAGAATCTGACACACACACACACACACACACACACACAGAGAAACCAAGACCATTTCATTAAACTCAATTCAGTTTCTTTAAACAAATTATTTATAAACATGGGAACGGCATTCAAAACCCATCTAATATCTAATGTGTTCATTTTTCTGAGTAAAACTACGTAATGAAAGAGAAAATATGTAACTCATGAAAAGTTTTCATTTCATGGTATAAATGAAGCTAGACCTGAATGCAGGTTTGGGTTTGTTTGAAGGTGACATTGTTACAGTGTAATTACACAGGAACACTTTAAAATAAGGTTTGTTAACATACATTAACATGAACTAACAATGAAAAATGCTACAAATGCATTTATTAAATCTTAGTTTATGTTCATTTCAACATGTACCTTACTAATACATTATTAAACTCAAAGGTTGTACCTGTTAATATTATTTAATGGACCTGAACTTCAATGAACACTGAACAGTTGTGTTTTTTTAATTAACATGAACAAAGATGAGTAACAAATGTATTGCTCTTTGTTAGTTAATATTAGTTTAATATTATTTTTATAATATTAATATAATATGAATTTACTAATAATAACTAATTAGACCTTGTTGTAAAGTGTTAACAATTACACAAATTCGTACTGAGTAATATTAATTAATTAAGTACTTACTATAGGGCTAAGGTTAGGGTTAGCTACAAAATGTTTAGGCTTAGTGGCTTGTAATTATGCATAATTTACTGTTATACTAGTATGTAAGTACATGTAACTTGATGTACAGTGTGGTAACGCCTCTTCAAAAATGGTTATTTTGGCTGCAACTTTTATTACATTAAAGTCAACTGCCATTAAATTGCATTAATTATCGGCAAGATATTAGAAAGCATACATTATGTACAACAGTAGCCTACAACAATACCTAAATACCTACATTGGTATTGGTTAACATTATTATTATTATTATTAAGGTGCACAGCCTAGGTGTCATAACTATTACTACTGTAACTACTCCTACAAGTTAATATGGTAACACATTGTTGTTTTAAGGTGTCCTTGTTACATGTTACTGTCACGATTCACACACACGAGGAACACGGGAACGAAGGAGCGAGGAGACACGGCGTAAAGTAACTCAAAAGGGTTTATTGAACAAAGGCTTGAGATCACAGGACTCGACACATCAGGATGACGTTTAACGACTGACCAAGGACAAGAACTAGAACACACTTTTATGCGTGGCTAGCGGGCTGGAGATAGCCCCGGCTGACAGGCCTGCCATCGGCCTGGCCAGCAGGCTGGAGATAGCCCCGGCTGGTGGGCTTGACATAGAAACCGCCGGCGGGCTTGCCACATTAATGTTTGGTTGGCTTGCCATATGCGGGGCCGGCGAGTTTGACTTGGCGCGGCTGGCAAGCTTTACACTGGTAGGGGTTCTGAGCGTCGGGCGGGCTTGTCTTCGGCGAGGCCAGCGGGCTGGAGATAGCCCCGGCTGGCGGGCTTGACAACGGCGCGGCCGGCACGCTTCACAGTGTGGTCTTCATCACCGCGAATGACATACGGGGGGGAAAACGGAAAACAAAAGACTGTTCAAAAACGAAAATAAAACACGGGAGAAGGAGCGCCGCTTACTGTTTTGGTCAGTCGCTCTGTCACGGTTCACACACACGAGGAACACAGGAACGAAGGAGCGAGGAGACACGGCGTAAAGTAACTCAAAA